CAAAAAAGAATTATTAACATGTTATTAAGATTCTCTGGCTGAATTATAAAATCTATAGTTTAATTCATTATTTTTCTGTTTTGTTTCTTTGAGATAGAGTCTCACTCTATTGCCTAGGCTGGAGTGCAGTGGCGTGATCTCGGCTCACTGCAATCTCTGCCACGTGAGTTCAAGCAATTCTCCTGCTTCAGCCTCCCAAGTAGCTGGGATTACAGGCGCCTGTCACCACGTCCAGCTAATTTTTGTATGTTTAGTAGAGACAGGGTTTCACCATCTTGGCAGGCTGGTCTTGAACTCCTGACCTCGTGTTCCACCCACCTCAGCCTCCCAAAGTACTGGGATTACAGGCTTGAGCCATGGTGCTCGGCCTAGTTTAATTCATTGTTTAGTTCAAGAATTTGAATTAAAAATTTTAAAGAAACTTGAAACAGTCCACTTGGCAAAATATATTTTGAAATAAACTAATATCACATAACGTTATATTCCCAAATGAAGCCAAACAAATAGAGTCTATGATAGAACAAGAAAATAACTTGATTTCTTAAAATAAAGACTAAAGTTTATTGTTTACTTCCATGAAAGACTTTCTATTTTAAATAAATTAATTTAATGATTAAAACTGTAAGCACATAAACAGATTAAAAATCATATTTGGATATACAGCATGTGAATTATGTCTCAATAAAGCTGTTGTTTAAAAAAAACCAAACCTGCCATATGTCTTTTCAAAAGCCCCAAATTCTGATATAACTCATTTAGTTCTCCTAAATAATACCTATGTTTTAATTCTGTATAAACTATACTATAGGATTATCCAACACACAAACAAAAGAATCTTTTCATCATTTGTACTTCTTCTTAACAAACTCCTTATTTTGCCAAAAAGTGTCATCAATTCATTTGGATAACTTTTATGTTTTAGGAACATGGCCTCTCTTTTAACTACTGAGAACTTACCAAATGGTTCAGAAAGTTTATATTTTTAAAGCTTTTATTCATTGCTATATTGAACATCTAAGGCTTAACTACATTTCCACTGGGACAAAAACAGAATTCTTAAAAATGAGGAGGAGGGCTCAGTGTGGTGGCTCACATTCCAGTGCTTTGGGAGGCCAAAGTAGGAGAACAGCTTGAGGCCAGGGGTTCGAGACCAGCCTGCATAATATAGCAAGACATCTCTATAAAAAATTAAAAAAAAATACAGGGCCGAGCATAGTGGTTCACACCTGTAATCCCAGCGCTGTGGGAGGCCAAGCATGGAGGATCACCTAAGCCCAGGAGTTCATTTGAGACCATCCTGGAGAAGCAGCATAGTAAGACCCTGTCTCTACAAAAAAACACAAAAATCAGCCAGGTCCATCACCTGGGGTCAGGAGTTTGAGATCAGCCTGGCCAACATGGTGAAACCCCGCCTCTACTAAAAATATAAAAATTTGCTGGGTGTGGTGGCATGCACCTGTAATCCCAGCTACTCGGGAGGTTGAGCCAGGAGAATTGCTTGAACCTGGGAGGTGGAGGTTGCAGTGAGCTGAGATCACGCTGCTGTACTCCAGCCTGGGTGACAGAGTGAGACTCTGTCTAAAAAAAAAAAAAATTAGCCAGGTCCATGTGGTGGCGTATGCCTGTGGTTCCCAGCTACTCATGAGACTGAAATGGGAGGATCACTTGAGCCCAAGGGGTTGAGGCTGCAGTGAGTCAAGGTCACACCAGCGCATCCAGCCTGGGTGACAGACCCTGTCTCTAAAAATAAAAAAAAATAATAATAATTTAAAAAATCGCCCCGTGTGGTGGTTTGCACTTATTTCCCAGCTGAGGTGGGAGGATCACTTGAGCCCAGTAGTTGAAGGTTGCAGTGAGGTGAGCTATGATCGCACCTTGCACTCCAGCCTGGGTGACAGAGCTAGAACATGTCTCTTTACAAAAAAAAAAAAAAATGGGGACGACAACAAAATTGGTGACTCTGAACTCCACCTCACAGATTCTGACACTTGGCCCCATGAAGAGGGGAGAAACTGTGTCTAAATAAGCCCCTTTCCCCCACACCGTGACCCTGGGATTAGAGGATTAAAATGTATTATTGATGTGAGTGTGTAAAAGTGTGAATTGTGTAGAAGCAGATAAAGGCTTGAAAGACACTTTTAACCAATATTCTGGATTGTGGATTAGCAGCATCATATTTACTTATTCCCTTAGTAACACGAAGAGGAAAAAAAATCTAGATTGGTGAATCTGAGAAACACATTTTAAAAAATTAAACAACAAAAAATGCCCATGAACACTCATATGCCCAGTCTTTAAATTTTAAAATTTAAATTAATTTAAAACTTGTCAAACACAAACCTTTATGGCAGAACTAGAAGTCTGTTCCCACCAGGCCCTCATACCTGAGAGCAGCCAATCCGGCTCCTTCAAAACTCTGAAGAATTAACTTTATCAAGAGTCAATGTTTTCATGCATTTCATATTTTTTCTTTTTAAGATGGAGTTTCGCTCTTGTTGACCAGGCTGGAGTGCAATGGCACGATCTCGGCTCACTGCAGCCTCTGCCTCTCAGGTTCAAGCAATTCTCCTGCCTTAGCCTCCGAAGTAGCTGGGATTACAGGTGCCCGCCACCACACTTGGCTAATTTTTTATATTTTTAGTAGAGATGCAGTTTCACCATGTTGGTCAGGCTGGTTTTGAACTCCTGACCTCAGGTGATCTGCCCACCTGAGCCTCTCAAAGTGCTGGGATTACAGGTGTGTAATCTGTAAAAATACCTGGCCTGTATTTTTTATAAAATGCTAAAGATTTTTTAAAAACCCGTACAAGTCTAAATTAATGTGCCTTCCCCTAGACATCTGTCTAGCCTTTTGGCTAGAAAAACATTGAGTAACTTGGTAATATACTCCAAGTATCTCTGACAGTTACATTGCCAAGAATATTAATATGTCAAATAAAAATATAATTCTAATGATATATACTGATTTTCCTACAATAATTATTCTGTGATTTAAACTCTCTTGTCTATAACGGTAAGGTATAAAGTACTCTTTCTAAGCTATCAGAATCCTAGAATAATCTACATTGGTTGCTAAATTTATATTTTAAAAAAGATTATAAATGACTTGTTAATGATCATATAAACTTTCTGTGTGTGACTATAACAAAACTAGAAAGGTTACCTTCTTACTCTCTTTGCCATCTTTACAACGTCAGTAACTTCACGGTAAGAATGTATTACTTCAAAATATTTCCTTTGATTAAATTTCTTATTTTCATGATTTTTCAACTCACAGCTTTCAATGTAATTTATCTTGAGAGATTTTTCTCAAATATACTGGGATGGGGGGAAGGTTAATATTTCATTAGTGACCCAAATTCAAGAACTTTTAATATATATATATGTTTTTATATATATATATGAATTTCTAAAATTCAATTTGGTATTATTTAAAAGGAAGAATAGTTCTTTTTCTAAACCTAACATTTTTTCCAGCTTTTAAAAGGAACTGGATCTACCGTCAACAGATGTTAAAAAGCACAGAAGAAACAGACTTTTAGTTCTATATAGATTCAACGTATCTTTAAAAAACAATCTCAAAAGATACAAAAGAAATCAGTTAGTCAATTTCTACTTGTGGATTTAAAGTGAAGTATCTCATAAAAAATATTTTATCTTTGTCATATTTTATTATCGGATGCAATTTTAAAACCAGATTTAAAACTTAAAATTCCAGAAAAAAATCATGAGAACCACTTTAGAACCCAGTGGATATAAAGCAAACCAGGTCATCTTATCAATTTGATTACTAAAAAGTTCACTAATTCACAATTAAATCCACAGAAACTGTTAGAAAGTGTCTGGCAACACATGAACAGTGAGCAGGGCTGATCAGTTTCTTTGCCATATTTAAAGTTTTCCTGCCTTCAACCAGGAAGGCTTCAATAATGTACTATGCAGCTTGAGAAAGATTGGTACATAAGGTTAATGGTACATAGGTTAATGCATATGAGAAATATATCGGAAGTTATACTATGGTACCAATATCCTCTTTTAAACCACAACTTTACACTTTATTGTTCTCATTTTGAAACTAAAATAATTTACTGAAAACAATGCTCTGATAAACTTTAAATATCATTTTTAAAGACAAGAAGTGTCATATTAGGCAAGAAACCTCTAATTAGGACAGATAAAACTTCTATATTTATATATGTTTCCTTTTTTTAAAGCAAACACACTTAGCAGTCTATAAACCCAATATTAGGTGGGCAAACTAATATTAAGAAAGCACTGATACTAATTTATCACTGATAAGACTTTTTTTCTGTTAGCTTGTTTGTCAATTTTTTATTCTTATGTAAAATAAAAATTTGAGCCAATTGTATATCATTAAGTGTATGATTTGAGAGCTGAGTAAAAACAAGTCTAATAAATTTCAAACATTACTTTCTATACTTTATCACTGATATAAGAAAATGTCTTTACGTAAATATTATATTGACATCCTCCATTACTTTCAATAAATTGAAAACAACTACGAAGTCACATATATTTTCAAATATAATAAAAAGGTTTCAGTAACATGTTATGAATATAAAAGACACTTGAGTGCTTCAGTCATTTTTCAGATCATATAAAATATTTTCCCTTGGAGCAAGTCTTTAAAATTAACTATTAAATAGAAACTCAAATATAATTTTCTATTCACAGCTTGGTATTTAACCTTTTTAAGCGCAGTCAACAAAACAACTTTAAGCTGGTTCCCATATTTGAAGACAAGGTCCATTTTAGGAAATGGCATTTATAGATGTGACAATGTAAAATTTTAAGAAATAAGAATTACATCAAGAAAATAATATTGAAAAAGTTTAAGGTTAAAAGTACATATTTTAATGTCTCTTTTTAAAACCCTCAAATCACACTCTTTTTAATATGAATTTTGCCAGCACTGTTCATGTTGGCCAGATTTCATGTTGGCCCTAGTTTTCTTTAATAAAGTAAAATGAAATGCATACCAGCAGCAACAACAGCTGGAGGAGGCGAGCCTGCCTCACCACCGCTTGTCTGACTCATTGATGCTACAGATGTTTCTCTAGATGGAGGTAATTGTAACTCCTTTGGGAGAAGATCATAGACAGATTCTGTGGGGAGGGGAACGAGAGGAGAAAACAATTTTTAAAAGAGATTCAGTCAACAATCTAATATTATATGTACAAAATGAGTATGTCTTTTCTCTCATGAGGAAAACTGTATTATTCACAAACAATCCCACAAAATTAATGTAAAAAGTTATTAGCAGCTAAGCACAGTGGCTCACACCTATAATCCATGATTTTGGGAAGCCAAGGTGAGAGGATTGCTTGAGGCCGGGAATTCCAGACCAGTCTGGGCAACACAGTGACCCCATCTCTACAAAAGTTTTTGTTTTTGTTTTTTTTTGTTTGTTTGTTTGTTTGTTTTTAATCAGCCAGGCATGGTGGTACACATCTGTAGTCCCAACTATCTGGGAGGCTCAGGTGGGAAAATTGCTTGAGGTCAAGGCTACAGTAAGCCATGATCATGCCACTGCACTCCAGCCTGGGTGAGACCCTGTCTCGAAAAAAAAGGAAAAAATTTTTTTAATTTTTTCTTTTATTATATAACCTTATTGAACTGAAAAATGAATTTCCCATTAGTTCTGTCCCTGTTTTCTTCTTGGTTTTACTTCTTATGTTCAAGACAGTCTCCAGAAAAAGTTATTAACATTGAAAATTGGATAAAACTAGACAGAATGGAAGAAATGCCAAATAATCCAAGATGGTCCTTTGTATCTTCCTTTGTAATAGTACAAGTAAAACTTATCCTTCACATATGAGATGGCATATACTACACTACTGTGGATCAGCTTTAAATTGGCTTCTCCAGTCAATTAGTATAGTACTGCTCTTTTACCCAACACCCTTGAGAAAATATTTTAATTCAACACTATCATAATTTATTTTCCCAATTATTAAAATAAATCAATCTAATCAAAGAAAAACTTTGTGGATTGAAGTGTTTAAAAAAAAAAAAAAAAAAGGAATGTTATAGCTCAAGCAAATACTTTTTACTCTCTGAGGCATCCCCAACCCTGGAAAGGTAAAGGCAAAGGAAACTCTTAAATCAGACTGCATAACCTATTAGGTTATGATTACTTTTGTATTCCAGATTAAAGAATCCTGTATCTTTTAAAAATATTTTGTAATACTATAATTGCCCATAAAATCATATCTATTAAAAATATATTTTAACTTTTTAAAAAATCCCTTATTGTATAGGTTTTTAACAGAAGTATTCCCAAAATATCCTCTAAAGGTAGTAGAATCAATATTAGAAGGAACTTCAAAAGACCGATTAGAGTCAGGCACGATGGTCATGCCTATGGCCTCCCAAAGTGCTGGGATTACAGGTGTGAGCCACCACACCCGGCCTCAAGTCTTTTTTTTTTGCCCAAACAAAAAAGAAATTTGAAAGAACAAATTCGATAAAAAGAGAAAAAGATCTACCCAAATGCATTTATGATTTATGTGATGGAAAAAAATTTATACTAGTAATAGCCCAATCACTAACAGCATGTTACCAGTCAGGATTCTATCTCCATTTCTCCAATTATTAAAATAAATTAATCAAATCAAAGCAAAACTTTGTGGATTGAAACACTCTAACTTTCCCAAAGAAGGGTATAAAGTTGAGTCCCTGTTAGAAGTATAATAGTAATGTCACTAAAAAGTACATGGAAAGAAATTAAATGCAGAATTTGTTATACTCCACCCCTCTCCAAAGTCTGCCCCTCAAAACAAACAAGTAAAATGCAAAGTCAAGTGGAAGGTATAGGAAGCATGGATTCCTTCACCAAAGATGTTTTCTGATTAACTGACTCAAGTGTTTGGAAATAAAAGAAGTCAGCCTGCGAGAAGTTTATCTTATCTATCCAAGGGAAGCTGTAGTTCATATAGTCATTATCAGCACAGGATTTTATTTCAGACATAACTGGGTTGGTTCTGCTACTTTAAAATAACTTCTCTAAGACTTAAATCATCATTTAAACTCTTCTTTTACCCCAGTACCCCAAAGATATTCCCTCTAAACTATAACCATACAATCCAAACACAGACACTGGCCTTTCTCTTAAATCTGCTTCCCATGGCATACCTAAAGATTAAAGTAATATAAATTATGCTATTAATACTGTTATTCAACCCTACATTCAATCTAAATTAAATGCTTTTACAGTCTCCACTGTAGAATTTTCATTCTAGCCAATGAAAGAAATCCTGAATAAGAGCACATGTACTTTACTTTATTTTATTTGAGTCAGGGTCTCACTCTGTCATCCAGGTAGGAGTATAGAGACACAATCAAAGCACACTGCAGCCTCCAACTCCTGAGTTCAAGAGATCCTCCCGCCGCAGCCTTCCAAGTAGCTGGGACCACAAATGTACAATACCACACCTGGCTAATTTTTTTTTTTTTTTAACTTTTTGTAGAGACAGAGTCCCCCTCTGTTGCCCAGGCTGGTCTCAAACTCTTGGACTCAAGTGATCCTCCTGTCTCAGCCTCCCAAAGTGCCTGGATTACAGACGTGAGTTACTGCATTTGGCCCATATGTACTTTCAATCTATGAAAATGACAGTTCTAAATAAGTGCCAGCTACTTCATGTTATGCCACAGTATCTATTTTTCTTATGTTATCTTTTAAATCAGTTCAGATATATAAGGCAATAATGAAATTCCAAGATATGAAGAAACAGAATGGGAAATCCCTAATGGAAAGGCAGCTTCTGAGGAAAGACTCCCTTAGAAAACAAAAGCAAAATCACTTTTAGATGAGAGAGAAAAGAGAGTGAGAGAGAGGGAGAGAGAGAGGGGGGATATGGGTATAAAATAAGGTTTCTTTTTGGAGTGATAAAAATGGCAGTGGTTACACAACTCTGTATATATATATATTAACAACCACTGAATTGTACCCTCTAAATGTGTAACCTTTATAGTATGTAAATTATATATCAATAAAGCTGCTTTTTTTTTTTTTTTTTTTAAAGGAAGACAGTAATAGAAGAAGCACAAGTAAGAATTAGACAAGAGCAAGTAGGGTATCTAACAGTGCTCTGATAAACTTCATGGACAAAATCATCTCTCTTCACATAGTTTCTATATATGAAGAAGGCCAAGCTGCAAACTAATTTGTCTTTTAAGGCTCTTCTACTAGAGGATCAGGAAAATGCTGCAGGCATAGTTATCCAAAATTCAGTAAAATATGTGATAAAAAATGTTTGTAAGTTATTGTAAACAAGATGAAGAAATATAGACTTAATAAAATAGACGACTTCCAAACAACAGTACCCAAAAAATGTATAGGTTCAATCTGGAAGAAGATGGTTATTATACCACAACTTGAACAAAGATATGAATTTTCAAATGACATAGGCTTAAAAGGGATTAAATCTTATGTCATAATTCATCACAGATCATGAAAGACTGGAGTATCTGCCCAAAGGAGTAACATGAAATTTAACAAGGATTAATGTAACAACTGGTAAAATCTGCTCTTGTGAAATAAACTTACATGTACTCACTATTTCTCTTTCTCTCTCTTTTTTAATCTAGAAGTGATTTTACTTTTGTGTTCTAAGGAACTCTTCAGTCTGCCAAGATTAGGGTGATTATTTTCTTTTTATTTATTTATTTTTTTCAGACAGGGTTGTGCTGTGTCACCCAGGCTGGAATGCAGTGGTGTGACCATGGCTCACTGCAGTTTTGACCTTCTTGCTCAAGCGATTCTCCCACTTCTGTCTCCTGAGTAGCTGGGACTACAGGTGCATACCACCATGCCCAGTTACCTTTTCAATTTTTTTGTAGAGACAGGGTCTTGCTATGTTGGCCAGGCTGGTCCTGCACTCCTGGGCTCAAGTAAGCCTCCTGCCTTGGCCTTCCAAAGTGCTAGAATTACAGGCGTGAGCCACCATGTCTGACCTATTTTCTTATATACTTTTCTATTAATGCTGCTAATAATTTGTGCGGTAACGTGTAATCAACTCACCTAATATTTCATTATAAATTTTAGTTGACCAAAATGCCAGGGTAAGTGCACTGCTTAAGTATCCATGTAGTAGAACTAGGACAAGTGTACTATAATAACTCCATTAACATAAATTACTAATATGTGTAAAAGAAAAGTAGACAGAAAGGGAAGCAAGTTCAGAAGATCAAGAATCTGTCTCATGCTGGTGCATTCTCATAGAGCCCAGGGCAACTGGAAAAAGGAAATAGAGGAATGAAATCAACATTTTCAGATATTGAAAATAAATTAATGCTTCCCAATGTTGGGTGGAAAGGAAAACAATGTAAAAATGCACTGACTGGTTGGCTTGTTTAATCATTCTGTAAACTCTAATAGATCCATTAAAGTCACTGATCATTTCTGGGTTAATTCAATCCTTTATTATTCAACACTGTCTATAAGAGGGTGGAAGAATTTCACTACAGTGGGTCAAATTTAAAGTAGGCAGAAATCCTATTCTGAGGCACAAGACAGTGAGAGAGAAGAAAAAACTGGTAATTTAATAGGGCAACTTAATTTGTTGGTTGTTTGTTTCTTCTCAGTTGGGCACTCTATGTCCAAATGGCTGATCACCCAAATCCCCTTCTCTACTGCTTTACTGTTACTGGTCATTCCAGGAAGAGATGAAAAGACCTCAAAAGAGTGCAGGGAGATAAGCCACAGGAAACAGCTGGGAAAAGACACGCTTTTCATGCTGTACTCACTCAGCAAAATAACAACACTAATAACGTAATTACAGCTACTATTTTTTGAGCACTTTGCCAGGCCAGGCTCAGTATACATATATTCTCATTTAACCTCAAAACAATCTTATGAGGTAGGTTTTATCAATAAAGAATGCGATATCTGTGTAACAGTAAAAAAAAAGAAAAACACGTGATAAAAGAAAGATGATAAAGTTTAGGACAGTGGCTTCCTTTGATGGGAGACAAGGAGGAGCAGAAATAAGCTGAGCTGTACAATGGGTTCACAGGTGTTTTTACTAAAGTATATAATCAAATAAAATACATTCAACAAAATTAGGGCTATACATGGATAGAGCACAGCCTCACAGAGATGCTA